ACACCCAAAATTAAGGAAGGAAAGGTTTATTTAGCTCACTGTTTGTGGAGGTTTCAGTCCATAATCAGCTGGCTCCAAGGCAGGGTGGCCTGGCACTGGGGCAACACTTCAAGGCAGCAGCCAGCAAAGGCAGCCAGAGCAGAGAGGGAGGTGAGGAGTAACACTCTTGTCCTCGCTTACATTGTACACAGACCACCCTTTGCCCCCAGGGTGGGTGCAGCACTCACACTACCACTGGGCCCTCCTCTCACACAGACTGAGGATATTTACAAAGTAAAGATCCTGGGCCCCTGCTGAATCTCTCAGTTAACTTCTAAATGTCTCAAGTTGACACAATGTATCACCCATAGCAATGGCTGAGCCTTTCTTTCATTCTGGTTACACAGATATTAGCCCAGATAATTCTGCCTTTTATCCCAGGTGAAAGAAATTTTATTATCCTTCACCCTTGAAATTGTCATAGACCTCAGATTTCCTTTGTTATATGAAATCCCTTTCCCTCTATATGCCTTCCTTCTCTTCAGGAATGCCAAAAACAAAAATAATAAATAGCAGAAAGTGTTTTTATACCTTTAGTGGCAGCTGCCTCTGAGTATAAATAATCATTATCTCTTGGGAACTCACTTTGATTCGTGAGCAACATTTTCAGCAGATACATAATGGGATAAGTTTCTTCTTAGCTGATTCGCATAGCTCGTATTGTGTCTGTATAAGTTACATGGAGAAATAAAGCCATCAGTGGACACAAAGCACTTGCACAATTTTTTTTAAATTTATTACTGTCCCCTAAGAAGGCAGACATTCACATATGACTGAGAAATAACCTGATGCTCAGGGATGACAACACTTGTCCAAAGAGGTCTCGGAAGCTAGGTTTGCAGGCCCTTGTCCGGGACTTTTTTTTTTTGAGATAGCATTTGCTGTGCAGCCCGGGCTGGCCTGGAATTCATGGCAATCATCCCATGTCAGCTTCCCAAGCGCTCGGATGACAAGAGCGTTCTGCCACACCCAGCTCCAGTATTCTTTATACAGTATAACATCATCTTTATAGCCCCATTTCCAATAATTTAAATCAGAATGCAAAAAAAAAGGGTAGAGCCGTGTACCACCCTTGTTCTCAGCAAGCATGCCAGCGAATGGTGTAATATCCTCTGACCGTTTTAATAATTGCAAATACGTTGGATTTATAATGCACTGCTCCACCCAGAGGGAACCGAAAGGTTTTGCGAATTCTAATGTTAAACAAGAAATGCAGTCAGCCCTGAGGAGACCCTGGCAGCTAAAAAGGCAGATTCTTTCTAACTGCAAGATACTGTCACTTTGCGTTTCTGTTTGCCTGTTTCACTGCAGTTACTCATTGCAAAGAACTGAATGTGGGTCTAATTTTGCAATCTGGACGACGGGCATCTGTGCGTTAGTGGACTCTTCAGTCTCAGCAAATCTGGAAGAATGAAGGATCAGCCTGGCCTCCCACCCTGAGGTTAGCACGGGACTGCTGCCTATCCAAAGATGTGGCCTGCGTTTCTACCAAATTGCCACAGTCATATTAAGGGCTGACTTGGCTGGCTGTCAGAAGCTATGTGACAGGGATTCTGGGGTACAGTTTCATGACATCTGTATAGAAGCAGTGCAGACAGGAAGCAGGACGCTCAGAGGGTCTGTAGCTAGACCTGAGGCCCTTCACAGGGGAAGTCTGAGAATGTAAGGTCACTGTGTAGGGGGACAGAGTGTAACGGGCCTTGGTAAGAAACTGAAGGTTTAATATTTCACTCTGCAGAAACGTGCTGCAGAAACGTGACCCAAAGGACTACTTTTATCAGGTTATTCCAGGAACAAGATGACAGATGAATAAAGGAAGAGAAATTGAGGACAGGAAGTAGCTAGTGTAACAAGCCAGTAAGATGAGCTGGTCAGGGGTTGGGAGGAGAGAGAAAGCGAGGGAGGAAGACAGAAAGGGATGGATTCCTGTGATGGTGGAGTACTGTGGTTTTCAGGGGAAGTGTTCAAGACTTAGAGACTCAGAGGCTGGGCAGCGGGCAGGGAGGGGAACGTGGCGGGAAGCAGGCGCCAAAGAGCGGACAGCCTGAGTGAAGGGGTTCCAGTGTTCTACAGAGAATGGGGGCTCGGTCTTCACAAGGCACTGGTACTCTGTGAGTATCCCGGAGCCTCCAAACCGGAAGTGATGAAAGGCGGCAGAAACATTAACTTTCCCAAACTGATCAGTGTATGTTGCATACACGTGTTTCAATGTTACACTGTACCCTATAAATATATATAATTGCATTCATTAATCAACAGTTTTTAACAGTAGTGGGACAGATGGAAATACTACCCTGCTGTGGCCATTACACATTGTATGCATGGGTCACATTATCACACTGTACTCCATAAATGCATACAGTTAAGTAATGCAATTTTAAAAGATTTAGAGGCTCAAAGAATTAAGGCTTCAGAGGCTGATGTAGAAGTTGTAAACCGGAAAACATTGATATTGATTTAGAAGTTGCTTTTTAACTCATGATGTTAAACTCTGTGCTTGTCCTCATAAATGTGGAGCCCTAAATGTAGAAATGTGAGCTGAAAGCCTTCACATCTAAAATTCCATTGGCTGTCAAATATTACAAATGTTTCCTACCTCTGGGTTATGGTGTGGATCTCCTGTGAGCACGGGGACTTCCCGCTGACTTGCTGTGACATGGGTCTGGTGGGAATCAGGGTCACAGTGCGCATGATCTGGAAGGGTTCCTCTCTCCCCCACCCGCCCTGCACTCTCTTCCTGTTCTCCATGCGGTGAGCAGCTCTGCTCCGCCAGGCCCCTGTGCTGTGCCCTCTAGCCTTCAAGCCAGCCGACTATGACCTGAAATCTTAACCAAAATAAACCTCTCTTCCTTTAATTTGCCCGCGTTGGGTATTATATCTCAGCAGCCAAAAAATGACTGAGACAGCTCATGTTGCATGAATCCCATGCAATAGGTTCGGGCCACGTGAGCTCTGAGATAAGGGATGTTTTGTCACTGCAGTGTAACCTCACTTATCCTGAATGACAACCAGTAGCGTGAATCAAGAAAGAACCCAGCAGCATTTTCCAGGCTTCATGTGTCAAGAGCTACACTTCAGGAAAAGAAAAGCATATTGAATGCTCCATCAGAACCTTAATAGGTGGGAGATGAGGGGAAGGATATTCACTCATTCCTTCATTCAATGAATGTTTCCTGAGAGATATTATGGGTTATTGTGGATAAAGAGGATATGAACGTCCTGGCCTCTGCTCACAGAGAGTTGAAATCCTGTAAAAGAAAGCACTGATAGATCCTTATAAAGTAGGCTCTGATAGATCACAAAATCACCCCCATACATGTGCAGTGAGGATACTAATTCCAGCTGGGCACAACCAGAAAAGCTTCTTGGGGGAACAGATGTTAACCTGAGTTTGAATCATAAATATAAATTAATTAGGTATTTGAAGGGATGCATAATTTTAGAGAATGAGACTTCCAGGTGCAAAGAATGAGGCAAATAAGGTTTGAGCATGTTGAAAGTACTAAAAATAATCTCCTGTAACTTGGTAGGGGGCAGGAGGGTAACCAAAACTTAGCCTACAAATTAGGGGCCAGATATCCTGTAGTACAGTGTTTATCTAGGGAGTTTAGCAATCTTGAGGGTGAGGAAAGCCATAGTTTTATTAGAGTTGAGTCCTGACTTGGTTAGACTTTTTAAGAAAGTCTTATTAGCAGGATGGGGAGAATGGATAATAGGGTGACGGAGGGAAGAACCTAGGAGTGTGTGATCTCACCAAAGGATGGCGGAAATTCAAAGTAAGACAGTGACAAAGTCGACAATGGAGAAATACATAAGAAAGATGAAAACTAGGTATAATTGATAGAAGTTAATGACCAGAATCTTTCTTGAGTATGGATGGTGGCTCCTTTTACTAAGGCTCTCTCTCTCTCTCTCTCTCTCTCTCTCTCTCTCTCTCTCTCTGGGTGTGTGTGTAGGAGGTGGGAGCAGGGAAGGGGATAGAACACATTTGATTTGAAACTCCTTATCACAACTGATTTGAGAGCTGTCTCCCAACCATAGATCCTGATTAGAAAATCCTATCAATTAGAGAGATAGGTGGGAAGATGCAAGCACAAAGTATATGCTGGGCCAGGAAACCTAGGTAGGCGCTGGAATTTGGATTGTGAGTGTCTCTGAAGGCCCATATTAGAAGAAAGCATAATTCCCAGCCTGTGGCACTTTGGGAAGTGATGGAAACTTTAGCTGGTGGAGCTCAGGGTAGGATCACTGGGCAAATGTCCTTATAAAGGTTACTGGAAACCCTGGCTCTGCTCTCACGCTCTCTCTTTGCTTCCTAGCTGGCATGAGATGAGAAGCTTCCCTGGCAAAGCATCTCTGCCATGAATTTTTGTCTTACCACAGGCCCAAACTCAATAAGTCCTCTGGCCATGGACTACAGCTTACAACATTGTGAGCCAAGATAAACCTTTCCTCTTTTTGATTACCTCAGGTATTTTGTTACAGTGAAGGAAAGCTGACTTGCACAGTAAGTGGGGTCTATAGACTGGCCAATGAAAAATATACAGAAGAGCAAAAGAAGAGAAATTCCAACACAAAAATAACAAGTGGAAGAAAGTAGCCCAAGAAAGAAATCAATAAGGTTCATCCTGAGATTTACAATCAAGGCAGCTTGATGAAGATCAGTAAAAGGAGATTCAGAGAGTACACAGTCCATCAAACACTATAGAGTTATCCATGAGTCAATGTGAGCCATTCAGCTAGAAAGACTGGGACACTGAGGTGAGAACACAGCCATCATTCCCAAAATGGAAATCATATCTTCATTTCATGGACAGTTATGAAATAGCCACTTCCACAGAGCAAGAAGAGAAGAAGATAAATTGCATATATCATGACTTTAATAAATTAAACCAATTCAACTTATTTAATGATATCCAGATACTTAGGGTCTATCTGTCTCTCTATGTGTGTTTGTCTGTCTCTCGCTCTCTCTCCCTTATCCAAGATTCTCTGATCTTAATTAACTCTAGTACCGACTAGTCCACAGTTCTTTATCCACTAAACTGCAAAATCTAGAAATCTGACCCAATTAGTGCTAAAGAGAAACGATTTGTTCTTTATTTCTCAATAAAACTCATAGATTTCAATGCAGAAATATTGCTAAATATGCATGAGTACAGTGTGCTGCATTGTACCTCTGTGTAGGTAATAAAATATTTGGCATATATCTTGTGTCTGTTTTTTTTAATCCAAAGAAAATTTGAATTCCAAAATCCACATGACTTTCAAGGATTCTTGTTGGGCTATTATGGACGTGCATCACTGTAACCCTTCTAACACCTCAGAAAATACACTGTATGTTCTTATTTCTGGATCAGGCACTGCCAATGGGAGCCATATATAATATTTATTTTGAGTGTGAAACTTTCTTGCAGGAACCAAGTAATTGCACCAAACAACAGTCTATTTATCCCTCTCTATGGCAACTATCACCACGGTTACAGCTTGTGGACTCCAGGCGGGACCCAGCGACTGGAGGGTGCTCCTCAGCTCACAGGGAGACGTCCTGTCCTGGACTTGACCTCCGTCCCTGGAGGCTCCTTGGAGCTTCCTCTGCTCTACGGTTTGGGGTCCACTGGCTTCTCCTTCTGCCCTGCACCTGGGCCTGCTTCCGTTCGCTTTTCCATGAAACCCTAAGCCAGGAGAATCTTCCCATTCTCGTTTGGCAAGCTTGGATCATTACCATTTCAGAGCTGGAAAAAAACTTGGAAAGAACACTGAATTCAATCCCTCCTTGTAGAAATGAGGATACTGAGGTACAGAAGCAGAGGGATTTGGCCACATCCACTAGGTGATTTACGACAAAGCCACAACTTCTATCCAGGCTGCGATTTTGTTTTTCTCATTATGAGATCCAGTGTTGCATGAGCGGTGCTCTATGGATACTTATTTATTTGTGAACATTTCAGTCTGGACACTGTCATTTGGATTTGTTTATTGCATTCTTCATTTCACCATCCAATATTCACTATCTTCTAGGAAAAATACCTCATTTCGTATAGAGGGTTAAGACTTAGAAAACACAAAGACCTCAAAAAACCAAAAAAATTAAATAGCCCAATCAGTAAATGGGCAAAAGAATTGAAAAGATAGTTCTCAAAGAGGAAGTACAAGTGGCCAATAAGTATACGAGAAAATGTTCAACATCTTTAACCATGAAAGAAATGCAAATCGAACTACACTGAGATGCCTCTTAGCCCAGTGAGAATGGCTATCATCAAGAATACAAAAAGGACGGACTCTGGAAAGGCATAAAGGAAGCCTTCGGCACTGTGAGAATTTAAATCAGTACAGCCACTGTGGAAATCAACGTGGAGGTTCTTCCAAAGACTAAGACAAGCACTGTACCACTTGTGATATATCCGAAGGAGCTACATCAGCATACCACAAGGATATCCACCCACCGTGCTTACAGTGGCGCCATGTGCAATGGCTGAGGCATGCAACCAGCCTGGGAGTCCACCAAGAGATGAACCGATAAAGGAATGCAGCAACCATACCCAGTGGAGAAGTACTCAGCTGTAAGAAAGAACAAAATTTTGTCATTTGCAGGAAAATCCTCAATCATCAAATTGAGCAAAATAAGTCAGACTCAGAAAGACAAATACCACATGGTCTCCCCAAACTGTGGACCCTAAAAAGGATGAAAGGAAAGGAGAAAGAGGACTATTACTAGATAAGAGGGAGGAGGTACAGGAAGGAGGAAGGGGTGTCAGGGCGGGTAATAGAAGACACGGGTACATGGATATGATTGAGATAGATGATAGATAGATATCCCCCAAAATGTGAAATTCGGGGAGAGGGTAGGGAAGGGGGTGATGGGGAGACTCGGGTATGTTCTGTGCTGCCAGAGCGAAACCCATTAATCTGAATAACCAACACACACCAATAAACATTGCAGGGAATGTCATTTCTGTCTCTGTCCTGGTGTCGGGTGAAACTCACTCAAACCCTTAGTTCCAAGTGAAGCTTACACCACAGGATGGGCCAGTCAGAGGACCACGTCCTCTACGCCCAGTGCTTGTCTCCAGGGAGATCTCCTGGCCCAATCAGAAATCTGGGACATTTGGAATTAATTACTGAGCAAGGAACCTGTGCACGCACTCTGAACCCCTCGTCAGACTTGCAGGGAACCTGGAAGCACTTGACTTCAACTCATTTAAAACCTGTTGACCTTGAGATAGAAACAAGGAAGGTACCCAGTGCTTCGGGACAGCAAGACGAGAGTTCTGTGACAGTTCAAGACTCTAAATCTCACTCTCAGTGTCCTGTTAGACCTGAATCTGCTCAGACCTTTGGCTTTTCCAGTCCTATAAACTAATTTCTCCTTTGCATAAGCCTAGCCTCAATGGGTTACCTATCACTTTTAATACAAAGTACCTTCACCAATAAAGTGGGCTTCAGAACATGTATCCACATGGTAACTTAGATTTGATGATGATTTTTTAAAAGTCTCTAAAAGTCAGTAACTTCCTGCATTAAGGCAAAGAGAAGAGAGGAGCAGAGTGCATCTCTCCTGTACTATATAAATGAAGCCACTGCCATGTTGCTGGTTTGATTTGCCTGCATTACGGATGTGTGAATCTATTTGGCTAACTTGAAACTTACACAAGCATTATGAATTTTTATGTTGCAAATTGAGCTATAATGAGATTTTTCATTTATTTATATTTATGAAATCATAATTTCCAGTTCTAAAGATGAAAAAGTTAAAAGGGCTTTTAAAAGCTAAACCATTGTTTTCTTAAGCAAATAAATCCCATGAGGCTTCTGAAACTTCAAACTACTGCAAAAGACTGATATGGTAATGAGTTAAATATAAGTAAATCAGAACCAAGCAGGGTGTTTACAAAACCTTCAAATCTGCATGAGGTTATAAACCAAAGGCAAAGATTCCAATTTGTAAATAAAACTCAAAGGAAAGTGGATAATATTTAACATGCTTGCCTCCACTAAATGAGACCACTTTGTTGCATAATTACCTGATTTGCATACAGGCCCCAGGGATGGAGGTTGGCCTATGTCAGAGGGGAGGAGATCTGAGTTAGATGTCACAACTGAGGCCCAACAAAGCTTAGCAAGCAGGTTTCCATTCAAGAGGAAGGGACAGAGGTTTCTCAGACGCCTCAACAGTGACCTCTTTGTGTTTCTTGAACTTGTCAAGATTTTCTCCACCTTGGAGCCTTTCCTGGACCATTCTCTCTGCCTAGAAAGCACTTCTGCTGGCTCTGCAAACTGGTCGAAGTGATATTCTCAGAGAAACTTTCCTTATTCATCCAATCCCTTGTAGACTAAATATGCTCCTTTTTTATCATGCTAATATTTTCCTTTGTATAAAAAGATCACATAAAAGGAAGGTTAATGTGCTTACACACCCACTATCCTAGCTCCAGTAGAAGAGGAGGTTATACTTCAATTGTTGGTTTACCTTGCATTATTTGCAATAGCAAAGCAGCATGTCGGCGACGAGCTAGAAGCTTCACTAAGGTCAGGAGCAGAGCTGGCATATCACTCCTCCCCGTGCCTTTCCTCAGCATTCTAGAAGTCTTAGGTAATGAAATAAAACAAGACAGGAATTAAAAGTTATGCAGTCGTGCCTTTGTTAACCAATCTCACTATGTAGAAAATCAGAAAAAAAGCAATACAATCACTTTTAGAGTAATAGATGCTTATACCAGTGTTGAAAATGCAAGAATTAATATATAAAAATCACATGCTTGGCCATATACCAACAATAAAATTGATTTGGAAATAACAAACATAATACTGTTTGAGCTAGCACCCCAAAATGATAAATATAGCAGTAATCTGTACATATCAGTATGAGGAAAGCTATAAAGCTCAGATGTAATAAAGAAGAATTACATAAAAGGAGATATTCTGTGTGCATAGCTAGGAAGACTCAATATGATAAAAATGTCAGTTCCTCTCAACTTGACTTATTCAAAGCAGTCTCAGTCAGAATCACAGACACTTATTTTGGGGCTGTCAATAAGTTTGAAGTTTATATGGGGAAGAAAAAAATTCTGAAACACCTGGCTCAACATGGAGGGGAAAAACAAAGCTTCACAATGCACATCGCCTGACCTCAAGACCTGCTGTGTAGTGACGGCGGCTGGAGAATGTGGGTGTGCAAAGAAGACAGGTAAGCCGAGCAGCAGAGAATCCAGAAACAGATACACAGATAGGGGCTCAGCTGTTGTAGTCAGGGGTTGTGCAGAGAACAACCGAAATCAGAGCATGGAGTTTGTAATGTTATTTTATGATGGTTACCCAGAGTTAGCACAAGAAAATGCAGGAAACCTACCCACAACACTAAAGACATAGAATATTCAGCCACGGGCCTGGATGCCACAGCAATGTCCCAAATGAGTCCAGATGAAGACCCAGAGCTCAGGACAATGCCTCCATGAGTCCACTTGGAGGTCCAGAGCCCACAAGAAGGACTCACACCAGTCTCTTTTACGGATCCCTGCTGGGAAGCCCAAAGGTCAGCAGTGGAAGCCAGAAAGTCCATGCCAGCGGGGTGAAGGAGCTGTCCTGGTGAGTTGAAGATTCTACACTGGAACTCAGAAGTCACACTCACAACAAGACCAGGGCTGTCCTGAAAGGAACCACAGCTGTCCTCAGTGACACGGAGGCCCGAGCTCCTCTGATGACAAGCACAGTCGGGTACATGACAGGAAGCCGGCGTGACGAGTTCATCCCGGAGACCAAGCAGCACATGTCTTCCCCTCCAGAGCCAGGAAGCGATGCTCGATGTGAGGACCAGAGCTTCTTCAGGAGAACCAATGGCCCAAACAGCAACATGTATGAGAACCCACAGTGCCCTCAATGCCTAGCTTCTTCTTCTCTACATCTCTATTTATGCTGGCAACTTTCCTCAGGCAGAGCATCTATGCTCAGCACCATGCTGATGTAATCCAGCTGGCATTAAGTTGACCACCAGATTTTAATCCATAACATTAACTGACCGTTGACGAAAGGCACAGGCAATAAATGGAGAAAAGATAGTCTGCAGTAAATGGGGTTGGAACAACTGGATCTCCACATGCAGCAGTAAAAATAATGATGATGCTGATAATTGTAAAAAATCTAGGCAGGGCTCCTACACCTTCCACAAAAATTAACAAAAATAAGGAATAGACCAGTATTAGCCATTTTCGTTACTATACTAAAATTTCTTAGGCTAGGTTCTTATAGAGAAAACAGGTTTATTAAGCTCACAGCTCAAAAAGCACAGTACTAACTGTGATGCGGACACCCTCATCTGACTGCACCACAGTGACAGAGAACAGAGGGGGCCAGGAGCGACCTCCTCATGGTCCCCACCTTCTACCACCACTCCGATGACCACACCTCCCACCCCGGAGCCTCGGGAGACAACCATGCCAACACCAGAGCAAGGCCTATTGTAAAGTGCGAAACTCTAAGGCTCCTGAGAAAGAACAGGGGAGAAAGTCTAGCTGCCTCCGGGTTTGACAATGACCTTTTAGATACAGCACGAAAGGCGTGATCCATGAGAGAAATCATCAGTAAGCCAGACCTCAGTAAAATGAAAAACTTCTGCTCTGTGTGAGATAATGTCAAGTGAATAAGAAATAAACCATGACCTAGGAGCATCGTTTGCAAAAGATAAATCTAATAGAGAGCTGTTGTCCAGATGAAGGAAGAAGTCATAAAAAACTAATCATGAGAAACACAAGCTGGATTTTACAAGAGACAAAGTTTGAAGATGCACCTTACTAAAGAAGACAGAGACTGCAAATAAGCATAAGTGGTGGTCCAAATCTTAGGTCATCAGGGAAACACAAGTCAAAACAAAAATAAGATTTCACCACACACCTATTATAGTGGTGAAAATCCAGAACAGGACACCACAGGAAATCTTCACGGCAAAATAGTACATCCTCTTTGAAAGACAATTTGATAACTTCTTACCAAACTAAACATTCCTACCACACGATCCAGCAACTGCCCTCCTCAGTATTTATCCAAAGGAGCTGAAAACTTACGTCGACACCAGAAACCTCCACGTGGATATTTATGGCAACTTCATTCCTCACTGCCAAAATGTGGGGAGCAGTCATTCGGTGGGTGATTGGCTGAACATCTGGACAATGAAATGCGATTCAGTGCTAAAAGGGAATGCATTTGCAAACCAGGAAAAGTTAGGAAGCTCAAACAACGCATATTAGTAATGTAAGGGAAGAAAAGCCAGTCCAAAGGAATGCTCCATAGCACTTGATCCCAGCTAGCTAACATCCTGTGCCAGGCAAAACTCTGAAAAATGTATGAAGTGTTTAACCCGAGTAAAATCCTGGTTGGCACAGGCTGGAGGGGGAGACAGAGTTCCTTTCAGGAGTCCGTGCAGGACTCCGCACAGCACTGATCCTTTTGGGTGCAAGTTATTCCATGTTGCCAAATCCATGGGACACGAAGTGCCAAGGGAACCCTCGTGTCAGCGAGGGACTCTGGGTGACTGGGAGAGTCGTCAGAGTGGGTTCATGGCTTGCAGTAGGTGTGTCATTGGGTGCAGAGAGGTGACAACAGGGTGCGCTATGCATCGGGGCTCAAGAGGCTCATGGAAAATTTCTTTGCTATGAATGTCAAATTGTTCTAAAAACCTAGTGTTTTAAAAAGGAGGAAACAAAAGCAGAAGCTGCGGTGTTTTTATGATTGTAGGCTAATGTTAAAGATGAAAAGTATCTCAGTCTGTTCCGGGCTGCTGTTCCAAAGACCTGAGCTAATGGGGCTCCTTGGAAGGGAGCTACAATACTGGGGCTGTGGCCTTGAAGGGGATACGGGGACCCCAGTCTGCTCCTCTTTCTTTTGCTTCCTGGTGTCACCAGGTGCACAGACACCCTCTGCCACATGCTTTCACCACAAGGCACTGACCCATCACTGGCCCAAGAAAGAGGGCCAAGCAACCAGGGACTGGAACCTTTGAAATCTGGGCCAAAATGACCTTTTCCTCTTCGTAAATAGTTGATCTCATATGTTTTGCCACAGCAGTAGAAAGCTAATCAACATGCTCACCAAACATTCCATTCAGCCTCTTGGTTGCATTAATGACGAAGCAGTTCTCAGGGCCTGCCTGCCTCTGAAAACCCCACACTGTCACTGCACCAGGGCCTGATGTGCCAGGGAGACATTGGAGCCACGCAGGTACACCAGACTGACTGTCCCACCAGTACCTGTGATGGCCTGGCTCAGTCATCTCTGAAAATTGAGAAAAAGTAAAATATCTAGAATCCTAAACTTCTAGAATGACTTTGATAATTTTTCTTCTTGGACTTTCACTTAGAAGTGAGCCAGGAATGTAAGTCATCTGTGGATTTTAGGGTGGACACTCATTAGGCTAGAGAAGTGACACTGTTGATCAAATTAGAAAGGATATCAGGTGGATATTGACTACAGAGAAGCTATTTTTAAAATTTTATTAATTGGCCTGAAACGTGTGTGTAGTCACACAATGCATTTGGTGAAAACTGTAAGACTCTGTTCTATTTGGCTTTATGACAACTCAGAGGACCAGCATGACCCAGTGCTTCTGATCCCCACTTTCTACGTGAGAAAATAACCTCTCCCCAGTTCTCAGACAGTCTCACCACAAGGCCACAGAGGACCAATGGAGAAAGCAGGCAGTCGTGATACCCAGAAGCCACCCAGAATAGAAAAGCCTAGGACAAGGGTTAATAATGTTTCTCTGGATGGTATTTTAGAAAGTATTTATTATGTAGAAAAGGTCATAGTTCTCATATAATTAAAATGTTTCATAGTTAACTCTGCTTTAAAGTTTATACTAGATTTGATGAATGATATAAGAGTATCTAAGACAGATTTCCTAAGCCAGATGTGGTGGCATATGCTTATAATCCTAGCACTCAGGAGGTTGAGGCAGGAGGATCATTGCAAGTGAGAGACCAGCCTGGGCTACAAAGAGAGCTCAATTCCAGCCTGAACTGCACTGCAAGACCCTTAGGAAGAGGAAGAGGAAGAGGAAGAGGAAGAGGAAGAAGAAGAAGAATAGTAGAAGAACAAGAAGAAGGACATAGATTTCCTGATCAGGACTTACTGATCTAGGTAGTAGGGTCAGATGTGCAGAAGTAAAAAGAACCACAGAAAGGGACTTCAGTCACTGGTGTTACAGGGCTGGGGAGATGGGAAGGGTGGAGCTGCCTCTGGGCTGGAAGAAACAAAGCGGTCCTTAGAGAAGATGGAAATTCAGATCGGTGCAGTCAGCTTGCCCAGCGGTTTAACAGGTGAGCCACACGAAGAGGAGAGGGAAAAATGTGTCTCACCTCCAGGAAGGCGTGGACTTAGACACAGGACTCACCTTGGTGAGGAGGCGATGGTTTTCAGAGAGCCTGAGACCACACACAGAAGTTCCAGGCTCCGGGATCATCGTGAGAGGCAGTCATGCAGAAGACAGAAGCCCAAAGTGAGAAAAAGGATCAAAGAGGGATTGAGAAGGACAAGATGAGATGGAGGGGGGATCACGGTGAAGGATGGAGCGCATTCAAACATACAAAACACACAGACA